AGGGGCGAGGCATTCAGTTTACGCATCATTTTGTGGGTTCCAGTCTGTCTCGTGACCTTTGCTGCTTCAATTTACTACACAGAGGAGATAACAAACATTTAACGCCAAAATACAACGATTTATCAAGGAAATACGGGACTCGAATGCTTTAGTGTCTTTTTCTCTGGTGGTTAATGTGGACATTTTTAACTGTCCTGTTAGTTTTGGTATCTTTGAACCATAGGTTTTATGGTGACGCTTCTGGAGATTGTCTCATTTTGTAACTTAGTGTTTTAGCGGGGCTGCTAAATTAGATGTATTTAATTGTAGATTTTACTTTTTAAATACGGAACCGTACAAAAAGCAGCCCAATCATAGCCTCGAACGTCATAAAAGTATCCTAGTATTTAATCTTCATGCTCCCTGGAGAACACTAACAGCACCGTCACTGCAGACAAATAAATTCAACTTACATTTTCCCTCATATTCTTTACCAAAAAGAAGTACACACACCACACCACACACCACGGAGGTACTGATTCTGAAGCAAACTTTTAATTAAGACTTTAGTTTTTATTTTTTCCATCCTTGTTTTATAACATCACAGCCAACTTTTTTGTTGGGTTTTCCCTCGGCCGCACAGTGTCCTCTGCAAATCTCTGCATTCTCTCTACTGTCCATCAAGGGACTATATGGTATATGGACCATAAACCATATACCCTGCTTTATGGTCTGTGTGACTCTAAATGGACCATAATGTACTAAATGAACATCATGCTGTATTGAAGAAGACTTGAAACTAGAGATTGAGACCATAAACTCATGTTTACAATGTTTACTGAGGTAATAAATCAAGAGAGAAGTAGAGTCATTTTCTCATAGACTTCTATACAACCAGAGGAGTCGCCCCCTGGTGGACATTAGACAGAATGCAGCTCTAACACACTTCAGCATTGATTTCACTCTTCAGAACCGGAAGTATGCCGCCTGATTACTTCTGAATTCATGGTGATAGATGGTCCGAAAATTGGAGTTGACTTTTTTAGTTGTCGGATTGGGCTCAGGCCTCAAGGAATGGGTTTGAATCAGGTGAGACAACTACTAATACCATCTTTTTGTTCCCACTGTTTCTCTGGTTTCCTTCACAAGCTGCTGGTGGCAGATAGTGACACAGTGTGTGCCTTGTGGTTGCCGATAGTCGGCCTCAACAGCGACGGGTTGAGGGTTTCTCCACCAGAAGCACCGGCTTGAGTCAGCACGGGTGCCTGCGGGTCAAACCTCCCTGGGACACCTGGTGGTCCAGCGGCCAGTGTCCCGCCCTTAAAGCAGGAAAACATGGCCGCCAACTGCAGCCGCACCTCCTTTTGCCAGAAGGCGTACACCACAGGGTTAATGAGGGAGTTGGACAGCCCCAACAGCCACAGATGATTCTCCAACACGCTGGTGAGTTTGCAGCTTTCACACAAAACGTGCACTATGCACACCACAAAGAAGGGGCACCACAGGGCCAAGAAGCAGCCCACCAGCACCCCCACCGTCCTCAGGGCCTTGACATGGCTCCAGTAATGGCTCCTCAGCTGCTGGTGCTGGTGCTGGTGGTGATGCTCGTAGTGTTGATGGTTTTCCGTCCTGGAACCAGCTTGCCTAACTTGGCAGATCTGCTTCTGGTGGCTGCAGGCGATCTTCAGGATGTCCAGGTAGATGTAAAGGAACACGGAGAGCACGGGGAAGAAGCAGGCGCTGAATAGCACGATCATGCCCACCTTGTGGATGACGGAGAAGAAGCCACAGAAGCCGTCGTACCCGTCCGCCTGCAGCTGCCGAACCATGACTGAGGAACAGAGGGCATTGGTTATTTGGGATATGACACTCTAGAAAACCATCCTCAAAGTCCATCAACATGCTGATAAACCTCCAAACTCATGGATGTATTCCTCAAACTTGACCTTTTTTTTTTACATCAGTTGCAACACGCTGTGCTGTTTTCGGTCTTAACGCCAGCTTCCTTTACCGTAACACACCATTAATTAATTAAGAAGTTGTATGTCTTTCGTACAACTGCGAATGAAGTTACTAATTTTTCATGTTTTTTCCGATGAAAGTCCAACAACACGTGTACATTTTTTGGTTGCGACATGCATACAGTCTTTTCAAAATAAAGTTCCGTCTTTGCAGTAAACAACTAAGTTAAGTTTAGGAAAAAAACGTGACATACTTAGTTAGGTTTAGTAATAGAGTGTGGAATGCCTTGTCACGTTCAAGCAACTGAACAACTTGGTTAGTTTTAGGAAAATATCGTGAAATACTTGGTTAGGTTTAGGAAAATATCG